AAAAAAAAAAAAAATGAACTTTGGACGCTGAGCTCTGGGTTCTCACCTCTGGCTTCCCTATCCTTGCAGTTCCTGGCTTACGACACACAGCTGGTCCTGGGGAACCGGAAACACACCATCAGCCCAGAGGACTACATCACTGGTGCCCTGCAGATTTACACAGACATCATCTACATCTTCACCTTTGTGCTGCAGCTGATGGGCGATCGCAATTAAGGAGCACCCCTGTTTCACCCCACCCTGGGCTTTCCCTTCCCTAGAGGGCTGTGCCCTGTGACTGCTTGGGGCCTCATACCCCTTTCCTTCTCCTCAAGTAGCCTACCCCGTTTCCTTTCTGTCCTGGAGATGGCAGTCCCGGTCTCTCTGGCTCTGGACGGGGAAGTACCTGGTGGGGATGGAGGAGCTGGGGACTAACTGTTGCCCTTGGTGAGCTTGGCAGGGACGAGGCTGAAGATGTGTCTTCTCCCCTCCACCCAATACATGGCACCAAATTCTTAACAGCTGAGGTTGGGGGGAAGATGAAAAGAGCCTATTCTATAGCAAAAAGGGAATACGAAAGGTAGAAGTGACTGACTTCAAGGTAAGGGAGGGTCCCTTCCCACCTCTGCCAAAGGCTTCTAGGCTATGCAGCTGGAGCTGTTTCCTCTCCCACCCTTAACAAAGCCAGCGAGCTTTGTCTCCAGCCTCCTGGACACATAGACCATTATCCTATACTCCTTTGGCTTGGCACCTTTTAGCTCAGGAAAGAGAAGACATCTGTGCCCATGAGTCTCCTCGCTTCAGCCCGTTCTTGTTTCAGTGACACTTACATATTGTTTATCTGGGTATCCCAGGGATGGCGGGGAAGAAGAGAGTGAGCAAAGTGAAGCCCCAGGGGCCAATATGGAGCAGCATCTACCCAGGGCTGCCTTGTGACAGTGGTAGAGAGAGCAGGCTGGCTGTAGCCAACTGGTCCCCATTCTCCAAAGCTGCTTGGGGCTCCCTAGGTGCTTTTGAGATCTCTGGTCAGAGGGACTTCTTGCTTTCTGTGCTCAGGTAGCTTAGAGGAAGTGAGGGGCAAAGGTCAGGAAATAGGGTGGTTTAATGATCGTGAGTGAGGTCAGGAATTAACCAGGGTGAAAAGAGACTGGGGGGAGTGGCAAGGAAAATGCTTTGGGGTCCCCCACTTGGCGTGAGATGTACTGAAGCCTACTGTGGTGCCCAAGACAACGTCTGTGTTCTTCTGCTAACCCAAGGAGGGCCCTGAGGGGAAGGTGACTTTCTCTCTCAGTTTGTTCTTAACTTGCACTGGGAGATTTTTGACTTAAGCCCCATCTCTCCAGCCAGCCACCGATTTCTTTGTAATTTCAAAGTGCCTCAAGCTGGAACGGGGAAGAGGGGATGAGGGTCAGTCTGTCGGGTGGGGGTGGAAACCGAATCAGCCCAAGGATATACTTGGGATTTCTCTATTAAGTACTTGATCCTAAATGTACCACACAAAGGGACGCAACTAGAAATGTAATAAAGTTTTATGTGTAGATGTGAAAACCCTGTACGGCTCTGGTTTTCTTCACTTGAAAGTTCACTCTGGGAGCATCTGTCTGGCTCTGCCCGAAGCATCCACTTCCGACCCGTGCTTTCTGGCTTGGTCTGGCCCACCTTTTCCAAGGTAACTAAATACTCTGCAGCACTTCCTGGGTGCTCAACCCTGCAACACTGGATCTGGAAGGGACCTCTCAGCCCGAGTGCTGACCCTTCTGTGCCATGGACCCTTTCCAGGAGCTCACGAGAGCGATTAACGCTCTTCCCCACAAAGCTGTATGTGCACGTACAATTTCGCAGATGGGGGAGGGGATGGACTGCAAGTTCAGGTTGAGAACTCCATCTTAGAGATCACTAGTCCAATCTCTTACAAGCGAGGAAACTGAGGCCCAGAGACGTTGAGTCATTTGGACTCAGCCAAGAGTAGTGCTTTTTTGCCTCCACACCCTGAATGCCTTCTTTGATTCTCTTTATTTGTTTCAAGGCTGAGCAGAGCCCCACCCTCCCTGTCAGCATGTCTGAGGGCTTGGTCCCCAGGGCCTGAGCTTAGGCTTGTTGCACTTAAGTCTCTGTGGTTGCCCCACCATCCAGCAGGGAACACTGAGCTCTTCTGTGAGAGGGAGCACACATGAGTAACCAACCCCACCCTCTGCCCCTCCCGTCCCAAGGGACTCACAAACCCAGACCTGATTCCTTTTCACTCCAACACTCAATAACTTTATTTGCCTTTGGCTGGCTCCTTGGTGTGGGATGGGCGGGGGCTGGCAGCAGCCTGGGCTTCGCGCGCCCTCTGGTGGACCTCAGAGGTAAGGGCTAGAATCCCGGCCAAACCGGAGGACTTCACAGTCAATGATACAGTCTAGATACAGTCTAGCAGAGGGTTGCAGCACTCCTCAGGCCTGCACCCCGGGCCCAGCTTCAGGGGACTGGGCATGTTGGGAGGATACCCTGAACCTCTGGCTCTCATACTCGCCCGTGTTGGACGCCCGCATGTTCTGCCGAGCCTTCATCTGCTTCAAACGGTCCTTGTCCACTTCCCGCTTGGTGAGGATGAAGAGGAGGATACCACAGGGGAAGCCGATGGCCCTAGGGGTGGGGAGATGTGCACGGGGTTTGGGGAGGGGCCAAGCCTGAGCCAGAGGCACTGGGGGTAATCATTCCAGCTTTATCAACTGCATGAATTTTGCAATACTTCTTGTGTCTAATTCGTCCTCTCTGCTGGCTGCTGGAGCGACCCACACAAATCAGATCTGAAGGCTGCCCTGCTTAAAACCCCGTAACAGCTCTCCATCGCTTTCTGGCCAAGTTTAAACTCCTAGGTATGGTACAAAAGGCCCACTGTGGTTGGGTCTCTGCCTCCCTCTTCATTCCTTTTCTGTAGAGCTCCACACTCCTCAGCAGGAACTGCACTCCTGCCATAGCGCCTGTGAGTGATTCTCCAGGCCACCCAGCCTCTTTCCCTGAGTCTTTGTAAAGGCCCCATCTGCCTAAATTGCCCCACATCCCCTCCCAGACTTCCCTTCTCAATCTGAGTAACTGCTACTTGGAAGACAGCTTGGTATGGGGGAAAGAGCACAGAGTCACAAGACCTAGTGAAAATCTAGCTCTGAGCCTCAGTTCTCTCCTCTGTAAAATGGGGATGTAATATTAATCTCAGAAAACTAAAACATTACATGGTAAAGTACTGGCACAGCTCAGGTGTTGAAGAAAATGTTAATTTCATCCTCCTTTCTCTTTAATTTTGACCAATAATCCGTATTAAGGTCAGAGTCGGATCCAAATACCAATGTAACACCTTCTAGGCACTGCTACACAACTAATATAATCTCACATGACCTTAATTAACTAATTACTGAAACTTGGGTCTCACCCCAAGCTCTCAAAGGGAGGATGAGGCCAGGGACTCAAGTGTGAATCAGATCAGCTCTGCTCAGTTTATTCCACAGAAAACCCACTCTCTCCCCAGTTCCACATACTTTCCCACCTCCCCTGCCCCACTCCTCTGAGATTCAGATCCTTGAACCCAGCAAATCTGTTCCCACACACAACTTTGGATTCAACTCACCGTGACCTGAAACTTGGAGAAGTTTCTGAGTCCTGCCCTCCCCTGGATGCCAATCCCCATTAGTGGGCAACTTAAACTCACTTAAAACTCACCAGGCTAGTCCCACTGCTTTCATGGGGTTCTTGCCTCTCTTTCTGGGAATGTATTCCAGCTCAGGGGATAGGGGCTCAGGTTCCTCCTTGCACTCTGGGGAGCTGTGGCTTTGCAGTGCCCGGGTCCGGTTGTGGGAAGCCTTGTTAGCGGCAGCTCCTGAGAGAATCCCTGAGGATGGAGGTAAGGAAGGTCAGTAAGAGGGGATGAGGAGAAAGAAAAAGGGGAGGAGGGATAAGGGCTGGGAGGAGTGGTTGAGATCTGAGGAAGGGGAGCCACTGCAGTCTGAAGTAACAGTGCCAGGGAGAATCCAAAGGGAAACGGGAAAATCGCCATCGAGGTGGCACTTTTGGAAGCCACTTCCACGTCACTGCGGGCTCATCACCCTGGTGTCAGGAGGGCGAGATTCGCTGTTCTTCATCTCAGACGCCAGGACGGGAAGGACTGCAGTGGGAATCACATGAGACGTATGAAAGAGATCCGGGAAAAGGTTTTAAAACCACAGAATGTTAGCACTGGAAGGGAACTTAAAGATAGTCTACTCCATCCCCTCGTTTTATAGAAGAGGAAACTGAAGCCCTGAGAGACGAACTACTTCTCCCAAGGTCAAACCGCTAATTATCCGGGGCGAGAACCCAAGCCTTCAGAAGCCCGGGGCTCTTTCCTCTGCACTGCGGTGAGTGTGAAACACCTGGAGCGCGGGAGTCTAAAAGGGTTCCTTGGGTTTCCCTCTTGCAGCAAGACCCCAGAGGTGTCGTGCAGCCCGAAGACAGGGGGATGGACTGGGTGACCTCTAGAGAGCATCTTTTCACCCCCAGATTCTTTAAGATCTTGCAGAGGAGTACGGGCAGGAATAGACAGCCCTGATCTCCTGCTATCGCTGGGCGAGATGTGAAAGACAAGGGATCTCTTGCAGTCCTGCCCTCCCCGGGGTCCCTCTCCTTACCCCGGAGGACGCGGGCATTTCTCGCCCCCCGGCCCTTCAGCGCCGTAGCAGCTACCACCGCCGCCATGTTCAGATCCCACCCCCCTTCGCCGCGCTCCCCGCCGGGAATTGTAGTTTGCGTAAGGGGCCTCCCCCGCTCCTTTCGTCCTGCCTACAGGCCAGAAACTACAACTCCCAGAAGTCCGCGGAACGGACCCGAGAGAACTACTCTTCCCAGGAGACCCGGAGGCGCGCACGCTCGCTTGTTTCCCTCCTGTTGTGGGCGGAGTCAGGTAGGGCGGAGTTTGGACTCTCCCCGCCACGCCCCGACCCGGTCTTCCAACTCTGCCCTGTGATTGGTGGCTCAGCCAGCCAACCCCTATCGCTAGTGGCCGAAGGGCCGTCGCTCTTCCTGCCGGGGAGTCGCCTACGCCTACTTCCTCCCGGGAGGAGGGGCTCGAGTTCCGCGTCGTCGCGCAGAGCTGACTCTGGGAGGCGTTTGGGCCCGGAGAAGTGGATCGGCCGCTTGCGCCGCATGGAGTCCGAATCGGAAAGCGGGGCTGCCGCTGACACCCCCCCACTGGAGACCCTAAGCTTCCATGGTGATGAAGAGATTATCGAGGTGGTAGAACTGGATCCCGGTCCACCGGACCCGGGTGAGAACTGCCGTTCCTCAGGCCATGGGGCAGACAGGAGGCGCTCACCCCTGGCCTCTGACCCCTGCTGCTATCCCCTCTCCTCCACACCCCACCGGTCATTCCTACCAACATCCTTCTCCCTCCTCCTCCCCCACCCCCATACTTAGTTCTCAGGCCTGGCGGGGTGGGGGTTCCCTGACGCCTCCTCTGGCCCTTCCCCTCACACACCCCCTTCCCATCATCCCCTAGGCCCTCCCTTCCTGCACCGTCGCTGGCCAGCTCCAGGTCCTCAGACCTGGCCTCCCGTTCTTCGTCCCACACGCCCCCTCTTCCCTGCCGCTTCTCGCCCCCGCTACACTCCCTGTGTCTGACTCCACCTTACCCTCTGGCCACATGACCCAGCCTCAGGCCTGCTGACGCTTCTCCCCATCCCTCTTACCGCCTCCTGAGCCCCATCTTTTAACCCTCTCCTCAAAGCAGATGATCTGGCCCAGGAGATGGAAGATGTGGACTTTGAGGAAGAGGAAGAGGAGGAAGAGGGCAACGAGGAGGGCTGGGTTCTGGAACCCCAGGAAGGGGTGGTCGGCAGCATGGAGGGCCCCGACGATAGCGAGGTCACCTTTGCATTGCACTCAGGTAGGTCTCTGAGGAGATCCACCTTAAATCAGTCCAGGTGGGCACTAGACATCTGCCGTGGACAGAGCACTGTGAGGGACCCAGAGATGGGAAAGATACCGGCCTTGCCCTGGAGGAGCTCACAGGTAGGGTGCGTTATGGTGGGATGGGTGAGAGCTTGGGTCTGGAGTCTGTTGAGACACCTGTGTTCAAATCCTACCTCTCTTACTTACCCATTAACCTTAATTAACCTCTCTTGAGTCTTAGTTTTCTTTAAAAAAGTTATTTTTGATAAGAGTTAATGAAAGTCAGTTGAGTGTAAATTAGAGGTACCTTTATGAGCATATTTTTAATAATCTCAAATACTAGTTTTTAGTGAGAAACCCACCAGCCTGGTGGTACCCCATGCTGAGAACTGTAAGCCCCGCACATGTACCCCTTGTCCATGGCCTCAGCGTGGGTGGTAGGGGGAGAAGCACATAGGGGGCATCTGCCCTGGAGAAGGGCTTGAGTTTGGCAAGCTTGGGGGAGGCTTTCTCTAACAGCCTGATTGTTGAAACTTAGAAGGACTTCTTTTCCAGAGGGAAAGTCAAGTTGCTTGCTTTGGGTGAGAAGAGGTGGGCTGCCTGAAGGTTCTGAAGGACAGAACCGTAGGTAGGAACTCTGTCCCCTTACCCATGGACTATCTCTTGGGACAGCATCTGTGTTTTGTGTGAGCCTGGATCCCAAGACCAACACCTTGGCAGTGACAGGCGGTGAAGACGACAAAGCCTTTGTGTGGAGGCTCAGCGATGGGGAGCTGCTCTTTGAGTGTGCAGGTGAGGGGCTAGGGTAGAGGCCTGGGGGGCCTTGTTCCTTTGGAGATCTTAGGGGGCTGGCCTGCAGTGGTTGTGCACCCAACAGCTATTTAGTGACCTCTGTTTTGTGCCAGCTCTGTGCTGTGCCCCAGGGCCACAAAGGAGGAGTATATAATAGTCTGTTGCAGGCGCAGGAGCAGGAGGCACTAATTGGCTGAGGGAGTCTAGGAAAGGCCTGGGGAGGTGACACTGGTGTAGGAGTAGTTGGGTGGAGAGGGGACGTGGGTTTTAAGGAGAGGTGTAGAGTGAACGGAAGTGATAAGAGATAGGAGGCCTGGGATATGCTTGGGTGAGGGGGGCCAGCAGTGTCTCTCTTGGAG